AGAGATGTTTCCTGGGCTGAAACAGCTTGCGAGTTGGTGACCTTCCCACCATTTTCGTTCTATCCCGACAAGGAGGTGCACGTTCAGATAACTACCAATCACTGGAACTCCACCAGGAGGAATTTCGTGCACGAAGCCACCGTCTCGTGGGTGGAAAATGTCAATTACCAGAATTTCAGGGTTCGTTATCCTTAAATTACTAGAAATGCATCAACTCTGTCACTGTTTACTTTGTCACTTGAGGATTGATTTCTTTTAAAAGTAGTCTTGATTTCGTCGAGATTAATAACACCGTTTCTAGGGGACCCCATGTTTACCAAAAATTATTTCTCTCTTGAAGGTTTGTGCAACGGCTGCAGGAAGAAATGACCGTGATACGAAAGAATTTGCTTCCGTCGACTGGATGGCTTACCAAGGAGCTCCAAATGGAGGTGTAACAGGAAATACAAATATTCCACAATGGTGGACTGGAACGAAGTGCATAAAAATTAGTCTGCCAACGGTGAGTGTGCGTTTTCCTCTCCCTTTTCCGGATGGAAGGTTTCCATATTATTGTTTCCATCAACAACGACGATAATAAAGCCAGTTGCAAACTTCTAGCCAAATCTGTATCATAATTTTGCAGTTTTGGATCATTCCTAACAAAATGGTTAAAATGACTGACCGTACCTCATTTCATTCTCTCTAATTAGCAACTAACAACCATGAATTCTTTACAAAGGATAAATTTGCTGCTACACCCATAATTCTGGTGACAGCAGATCACGTAACTTCAGCTTACAAGCACGACGCCGCCAGTCTGTGGGTAGAAAATGCTACCAGATCTACCTTTTACATTTGCCTCCGAGAATTACAAAATTATGACGGTCTCCATGAGGACATCCTTGTGGTATGTACCAACTCAACATCTGTGAACAGCTCGAGCAGTGTGACTTTATATTCAAAAAATCACAAGTTTCGTGTATTTGCCTTTTCTTCCGATTTGTTTTTTTGCTTGTTGTTCGTTTCATTTCAGCGTTTTTCGGAATTAGCCATTTACGCCGGAAGATTGGTCGCTGAACCATTGGTCTAACAGAATATCCTTATCCGAAATCAAGAACGCCAATTTTTAAATTTCAACGAGATAGAAGAAGAGTGTCAGTCGGGTTTTATTTCGAGCAAAAATTTGGGATACCTGTCATGAGGGAAACAAAATCAGTCTTAATGTTTAAGTTGTACATTCAGACCGAAATGTCCCAATTTGCCTGGTTTATGGTAAAGAAACTTTGTATCAAGGCGTTGTTTGAATTGTTCTCTCTAGAACTGGATGGCTTTTGAAGAAATTCATCGCCCGCTTTTCTCTGAAAGTAGAAAAATCGACTTTCCTAACAACAGCTCTGTTTCCGCAAACTACAATGGTGCGTTCTGCAAGGTACGCTGCACATGGCCTCCGCCTTGATTTAGTACTAATAATTCTAATTACCCTACCAGTTATCTCTTATTTTATCATTGTGTTCATTCATCACTTTTGCATAAAAAGCCTCACCTGGCTCATCAATGCAATTTGATTGAGTAAAGATTTTAGTAAAACATGCACTTGTAGCTAATAGACTTCCTGTTAACTGTTGCCTTAGTTGATCTTTTTTATTTCTGATTATTCGTTGGCTGCTTCCTTGGTTGCTTTTCCTTGCAGGATGTGCAGTTCGTCAAGACTTACGACAAAAAACCTACGGTAATAATCGCCGCAAATCACAATTCAGATGGAAACAACCTAAAGTCAAAGTACCTATCTGTAACTGCATGGATAGAGGTATTTTCTTTTCCGTTCACAGTTAATTATTTGATAATTTTTCCTATGTAAATGCAGTTTCTTTATCCATTTAGTCAGCTGAACCCTAACTGTAAAATGTTCAGATGTGTGCGAAGTCCTTGTTCTGCCAAATGCAAATCCTCATCTACAGATTTCCTTCTAATTGAATATATTTTTTGCAGCATATCAAGACATCAGAATTTCGTATTTGTCTCAAGGAGTTGTTTGCTGCTCAGCATGACCCTGTTACTGTCTCTTACGTCGTCCTGGCGGGTAAGCACAACGACGACTGAAACAAAGCTATTATTATATAGGTTACCCATTTTAGCATACCAGTATATTAACTAAACATCATCTCTTAATGTTTTTTCGGTTTAGACGTGTGTAAACCAGGCTGGTCATACTTTTCTGGCTTTTGCTACTCCACCAGTAAGTCGTGCAAAAACTG